TTCTTAAGTGGAACAAGGTTGGCTACTCCCTATGTGTTGCAGTTAAAATAGAAGTCCCTAAAAATATCTTAAACGGTTGGACTGGGGAGCTAAATGAACAATCGGTACAATGTCGCATATAAAACTAAGACATCTCCTCTAGTCCGGTCAATGTGATAAATGCATCACGAATCTAAGAACGTAAGAATGCTCGTATCATATGGGGTGGCATATCATATTTCAACATCATATACTGAACAGGTCCTTACACATTCATTGTATGTGCAGCTACTTGTTCAACCCCCATGAGCGAAATATAGATTTTAGTGACTTCAGAGATGCATTGCACGCAGATCCCTACAGTAGAACAAATAATTAATTATTGAAGTTAGAGTACTTCTTAAATTCTTCAAGAAATAAAGGAATATAATTTTTTTATTACTGAAAATGATACTCCATTTTGTACAATTTGTTCACAATGTCAGCCTTTCACGTCTCTCTGTTTTATAATACTTTAAATTCAGGATGAGTATCGGTGAGTATTCATACCTACAAGTAAAGTCCACTTATGTGGAATTTACTGTCAGTACACTTATTCACATGTTTTTCTCTAAGGAAAGTGTAAATGATGTATGCTATGTATGAACGATAGGTTCTTGGTGAACTATTAGTTCAGCAAAGCTACGGTAACCTAGCTTTTGGCCACTTTTCATCCTCACCCACCAACCACTTCCATGCCATTGTGGCCGTTTATAGCATCACAACTGTCACCTCCACAGCGTGCATCTTCTACGTTGCCAAATCTTTCTTACTGGGCAATGGACTATGGATTTAGCTTTTGAAACAATAATATCTCCATACCACACGTTTCTCTGGTTCTTAAAATTTCTACAGGGAGACAATCGAAGAACAAAAACAGGCAAGTAACTGTGACGTATGGTGGTGTTAGCCAATGACGTTTTGAGCGGACGAGAAACATTTTGAGGAGCAAAGAAGCGGTGCAATGAATACCCTGAACTTATGTTCAAGGGATTCATTCCAAGAGGAAGAGGAGGAGGAGCAGCGGGCTGTACTTAGGTAGACCCTCCAGTTCATAGAGAGAGTTCCGACTTGACAGTTGGGAAAGGGAAAACTTTGTGACTTGATTGGATGAGATTCATTTCGATGCGGTTTGATGCCGAAGCGAACATTGTTGGAACTCCATTTTACTCCGGAGAGGATGCTTACGCGACGATCTCATACGCATACGATTACAAACTATCTTCAACACCTTCCCTCTTAGAAATACAATATTATAACGCTAGCATTTATCCAAACTAATATTTGACAGCAGGCGGAAATGAAGCAGTGACGTAGGGGAGCTAAAGTGGAGGTGAATCGACAGATAATTATGAGGCAGGATACAAGGAAACAGAGAAAAGATATGTACGGAAGGGAAAAAGCAGCACAAGGAAAAAGAATGGCTCTGGGAGAAATCACCGCTCTTTCCAGTCTCGTTGTCCTTCTTTAGAAGTAGGCCCGATGCAGAAGAGCACTGGGAGAACACAGCTACAACCCAATCCAACCACCAGATCCCTAAGCAGGAGAACGAATGCAGACGCAGACGACTCAGAAACAGTGAAGTCAGTTTGGGCTTTTGTGCTCACCGAAAGCCCAGACTGACGATCCAGATGTTGCTGTAGGGAGCCTCCAAACGAAAGGAGACAAATACAAGACAATCAAAAACAGTATTGGGGATGGAGGAGCTCGGAATGTTTTCATCACTCCTATTTGTGATCGCATGCAGGGATGGTAAAGCCGTCGTGTACCCATTCGAACGGCAAGCAAACCTCGTTGATGCACGGGGAAGGCACTATCTCAACTGTTGAATCACATCCGAAACTTCATGGATTTCGAACGCGGTGGCAAGATCCACAAGGAGCGCCCCACGTGGAGGAATGAAAATGATCTTTGAACACTTGTCACCTGCACAGAGCACATGAAGCCTTGTCAGATACTGCACCTCTTTGTGCTCAAATCACGAAACAGTGAGAGGCGGTGACAAAACAGCAATCAGGCTCTCAGCACCCGGATTATCTTTAGTGGATGCGACTGAGATGGTCGTCGTATTGGATGAAATAGAGTGGCGTTCCCCAGGATGCATAAGAATAATCTTCCCTTACTTGGGCAGTGGAGTTTGGAGATATTTTACCAGTTGGATGTGTGATGTTGTGTACCATCCTTCTAGAACAAAGAGATAATGTCCTCATATTTATTCATCCAGATCATACTCATGATTTTGATAGTTTGATATCTTAGGTTCATCGGTACATAGCTCCCTTTTGATGCTGTTAGGACCTAGCCCCATTTTCCTCCCTTGTTTGATCCATGTGCCACTTGATGGGTCTTCCCATGCTTTTTGCCACATAACTGTGGTTTGTCTACTCAGTCATCGATTGTGTTACATGCTAGAAGTCTGGAGGAATAAAGAGTGATTAAGGTGATAGGATGGAAGCACTTCTCTTTGCTGGGGATGAGGATGCTCAGGAGGTGTGATAAGTCTGATAGACACATACACGGTATGTCTATCAAAGGAAGGGTTGTATGAGCACCCAAGTTGCGATGCAAACTGCTGTTCACAAGACATCTCGGAGAAGGTCCTTTCAAAGATTTGATTCGATGTACACAGACAAGCCAGGAGCAGAATGAGGCACATGTTGGGGTTTCAGTTCCTGGTCACCCTCTGCCAAGGTCAAGTTCCAACTACAGTCTATATCAAAGTAGAGTTGTAACCTGATCTGGAGTTTTGTTCTTCTCGGCTCGAGGTTTGTCTGCTGGAACATTCAGCTGGAGGGACACTCGTCTTCAGCTAAAGCATATCCCCCTCTCCAGCTCCGCAAAACAAAAACACTGTGATCTGGTGCGAGCGCACTTCGTGCACGTGCTACTGTGGTGTGTTTCACAAAACATGCATCACTGCAATGCTAACAAGTCCTGATCAGGTAAAAAGGTTGACGCACAACGACGACGAATCATGTGTGACCAATGTGACCAGATGAAGTCATCACCTTCTAACCAATGGCATCGTGCACATCAATGACCTTCAAGTTGGTAGATCATTCTGTTGTGGCCTAAGTTGGTCACAGCACCTCATTGATGCAGACCTTTCGCTCCAAACATTTCGTGACGAGTCAGGTTCTTCAACCGAATATCCTTCACCATCAGCGAAGATCTGGACTGGGTTCGAACTCACCACTCTGAAGTAACCTGATTGCGATACTTCGTTCGAGGGCAACGCCAAGTTGATGTTTCGGTAGGCCACCGAAACAGAAGGGACTAATCCCGAAAGGTGCATTACGAGCATTCTTAATCAAAGAATCCTTTACATTACAACAAGGAATCATGTTTCGAATTACGTATTTCAAAACGCCTTTCGGTCGAAATACCCTCTCTCCGAAAGTGATTCGATTCGTATGAATGGTCGACACACAACATCAGTAAATGGCAAGAGGTCAAGTATGGATCCAGTGCAAGATATCCATCTGTTCGGTAGATGCAAATTATCATGTGTGAAGAGAATGCTCATATCGATTATCTTGTTCAAAGTAGTTCAGAGTTCATCATAGATCAATTGACACAGATGCACATTGTGATAGTCATTCTCACGTAAACTTGTTAAGGATTGTTTATGTTTATAAGTATTGGTTATTTTCACACATGTGTAAAATCTACAAAGTTGACATTTAAAAAAATATATAAGTATTATTAAGTATCTTTAAATCCTGCTTGTGAATGTTGTGACATCAGGACTAAAACAGGATTAAAAAAGAAACTCTTTCAAATTTTTCAAATGTGAGTGAAGCATCAATTTAGATACAAGATTTATTCATACTTTTGAAGTATGTATCTTTTCTTAAAAATTGATTTTCTTAATAAATATCCCAATTGGTCACATTCATATATATATTTTTACGCTATAAATGTTTTCTGATCTGAACACTTGCATTTGATACCAGTTAAATTTGGTTACATGTAAATTTCCTCATCACATGGAAAAATCTTGTCATGTTGATTTGAAAATTGTAAACCCAAAAACCATTTAAGTCCAAACACCGCACTACTTTAATTAATTTATAGATTATTTCCAAACTTATACTTTGACCTAGAACCTTGCTGACATTTTCATCAGAAACGGAGATTTGCAAATTCGTTTTTAGATTTGAATCCTTCTGTATGTGGAAACGAAAGGAATACCCAAAAACCCGTTTGTACAAGGTTGAAACAACATGCTACATAATACACCATTTTCTTATATTAGACTGCAGTCCTCGAGTTTGGATCGTAGTAGTACAACAACGCAGGCGTGAAGAGCCTTCCAATGGCGACGAATCGAACGTCTGGTTCTTAATTGCAAGCTATCCTCTCGACACCCTATCACTGCAGCACAAAACATGATCGACCTCTTGCTCGGATGGGACGAGAATCAGAGAGAGAGCTCAGGAAATAAATGGCGTGCAGTCAACCGTGCCACGGTCACAAGAGTGCCACACATAGAGAACGTGTGGAAACTCGGAGCGGGGGACGAGCATGAAGTGTTCGTCGGAGAGACCCAATGCCACTCGTCGCTCGATCGCTGACTTCGACAGGAGGATCCCCTCGTGCTCCCTCCCGGGTGACCTGTTGACCGGGGGCCAGGAGACTCAGCCAGAACCAGGCAGCAGCTGATTAGGCATCCGGACGAAGATGGGGTTAAGCCTTAACCTCGGACGTATTAACCTTAACTGTTAAGGTTAATTAACCCGAGGACGGGCCGGGGAGCGGAAAGATTCTGAGACGGGGAGTGAATCTCCGGAGCGGGGGGCTTGTCATGGCAGCCACGCCAGAGATTCGTCGATCGGCAGTTGGGCGCAGTAAAAGCGTGAGTGACTGCCCGAGAATGTGCAGCGGAGGGGGGCTGACATGTCGGCCTGCCATTGGGGGCAGAAGCAAACAAAAGAGGCCGGGTCCCGGTTCGCTCATTCTCTTGTAGCACAGGCAGGAGGAAACGACAGGCCCGCCCGCGCGCCCGCTGCTGCTGGTCCTGCTGCTGGTGGCTGGTTCTCGCGCTCGCTCTCGCTCTCGCTCGGGCTCGGGGAGTGAGAGAGTGAGGGAGAGTGTGTCTTGCTCGCGCTGTCTGAGTCTCTGTGTCCGAGGGGGTCCGCGGGGGCGCGCGATTCGGTGAGACGGACGCCGGGAGCGCACTGGAAAGAGAGAGCATCCTCGGAAACAGAGTCGCGCGTTCGGGGCTCGGGGCTCAGACAGGCTCGCAGACAGGGACGGACAGAATTGTTGCGCTCCGGGATTGGGGATAAGTAAAAGCTTGGGCTTGGGCCTGCGTAGCTGGACCGAATTCGTGGGCGTGCTGGACGCGCTCCCCCGACTGCTCCTCTCCACGGCCGACCGACCGACCGCCGGACTTGCCTAACGTTCCACTCCATCATCGTCGCGTCAGTCTGCTCTCGTCGTCGTCGTCGTCGTCCTCATCCTCCTCCTCTTCCTCTTCTTGTTCTCCTTCCTACTTCCTCCTTCTTCCATCCTTCCTCCTCCTCCTCCTCCTCCTCTCCTCCGTATTCTCTTCCTCTTTCTTGATCCCCTGTGATGTCTCTCGGCCCTGCAGCCGCTCGAGCTTCTGCAACCTTTTTCTCTGCCTTCCGCTCTCTTCTGCTGTAATCCTTTTTTCTTTTCATTTTCACTTGCGCTTATTACCGTAATTGAGCTGTGGTGGCAGCAGCCGAAACCGGCGCTGGATTGAGTAGAAAAGCCTCACCACATAAGCTCCAGGTTCAAAGAGGGACCTTGTCTCCTCCAGAGAGGTGGAGAGAGAGGGACAGAGCGAGGGGGAGAGAGATAGAGAGAGCGGTGGGAGATACAAGATTGCGGAATAAGCCGCAATTCTTGCATGAAGGTGAATTAGGACGCACGCGAGCAGGCCGAGGATAGAGAACAGTAGCTCCGGAGATTACAGTCTTGGGTCTTCATCCTCCAATTCACATCCAGTTGTCGCGGAGAAACAAAGGGAGGGAGGCGATACACTTAGCAGACATGACGACTTGGCCAATGGCTGCGTTTTTCAACCAGGAAAAGGAAGCAGAAGGGGCTCTGTGGTACGCGGATGCGGTCGTGTCGTTCTTCCTCGTGGTTTTCGCCGGGCTCATGTCCGGATTGACTTTGGGGCTCATGTCACTGGATGTTGTTGATTTGGAAGTTCTGCAGAGGAGTGGTACTGTCAAAGAGAAACGGCAGGCAGGTTCGTTGCATGCCTCGTTGACCAATCTTGCCATGCAGTAGCTGCCAGAGAATCGAAGTACAATTTCATTTTTTATCATCATCCCGATGCCCATCTAGCCCCCGGCCATCACCCGGAGCTCATCTTGGGCCACCTGAGACTTAGAGACAATCGGTCGTGTGCTTCGAAGAACAGGGAAGATTCTCTTGTAGGAGTTCACGAGTCCGAAGTTGCATGTCTGCCCATTGCGTCTTGTCACCTAACCTGCAAGCGCTCACACCTGTTTATCCCAAATCCGACCAATTTTGTTGGTCGGATTTGGGTCTGGAAGCCAAGGCAAGGAGTGCCGGGCCCTGCGGTGGGCCCATTACCTCGTACTAAATGTTGTGACCGGGTTCTTCTGTGTGCAGCGTCCATTACCCCTGTACTGCAGAAACAGCACCAGCTCTTGGTGACCTTACTTCTTTGTAATGCTGGAGCTATGGAGGTTCGTTTTTCTCTTTTATGCTTTGAATCCGCATATGTGGAAAGTCGGTGGTTGCGAGAGGGTTTGATGGGGTTGAGAGAGCGAGCGTGAGAGGACGTGAGGTGCAAAGAGGGTGCCGGGTGGAGATAGATTTGGGGGTCTTGACTGGTAGAAACGTGGAGGTTACCATGACCTTGTTGTGTTTCTTCCACATTCCAGGCCGTTCTCCCTCAAGGCGAATGTGTCCTTGGGCCAGATTGAGCAGGTTGAATCATGCAAAACATTATATTTCTGTGCTGCATATGAACCATGAGCTGAGACCTGAGTACACACGTTGGAGCTGGGACGTGTAAGAATCTGTTTTATAGAAGAATTGGGTTGAAAGCATGGAGATGGAATGTGGCTTATGATGTGATATTCCTTGATGACGGTTGTACGGCATTTCTCGAACAGCTTCTGGAATCCTTCATATTTCTGATTCCCTGATATTGCGATCTGTGCAGGCTCTTCCTATATTTCTCGACAACATGTTTAACCCGGTTGTAGCAGTCGTTCTGTCCGTGACATTCGTGCTTGCGTTCGGCGAAGTAAGCACCGTATCCCGCGTCACAAGGGCCCCACTGTTTGATAGATTTTACGTGTTAGCGGAATGAGCTGTATTCCTGATTCGTAAGCTTAAAACTGGGGATCTTCATCCGGCCCTTTCTTTACTTCCATCACTCACTGTGGCGGAATAGCCTTGTGAGAACTTGGATTTTCTTCCTGTCGCAGCCAGTTTGCATACTCAGCCGGTCTTTGAGGGTGAAATTTGTTAAAATCCATGAGCTGTCTTCCCACTTGTCAGTAGCCATGGTAATCTTAGAATTTGCTACACAATTAGGATAAAGCGGTTAAAAAAATCTCCCGGAGATTGTCTTCTCTGAACAGAAATTTGGGATGTCTTGTCATGCTCGGTATGCTGCCTTAGGGAGAACTCATTTGCAGGGTCTATTCTTGTTATTGTTGGTCATGTGGACTGTGATGTGTTTTCTCTATCTTGCAGGTCATTCCTCAAGCTATATGCTCTCGCTATGGGCTGGCCGTGGGTGCCAATTTGATATGGCTGGTGAAGGTTCTGATGGTTTTATGCTTTCCAATTGCCTACCCTGTCGGAAAGGTATGTTGAGTGTTTTTGTCGGAGAAAGTCTCGCATATTTCAATATTCAGATCATCTGTTCTTTTGTACCGCTTCTTCACTGGTTATCCAGTGATAGAGCAATTGGACCATTCACGCATTTAACGATTGATGGGCTTCAGAAACTAGAAGATTTTATGGAATTTGCTATGATATACATGACGATTGATGAATTCGGATGTGTGTAGTTATTGGATCACGTGCTTGGACATAATGATTCTGCCTTGTTCCGGCGAGCACAACTGAAGGCCCTTGTGTCCATCCATGGAAAAGAGGTACATTTCAGTCTTGCTCAGTATTTAGAACATCCTAAGGGTCCACTCTGGATAGTTTAACTAAGTGATTAGAATGATTGTTTTCGTCAACAGAAATTGACGGTGTAGTAGGTATTGTAAGCCCAGAGCAGTATTCTAAATGTCACGATCATGTGAAGAATCGGACCCTGATGCTGCTGGCGTTTGTGAAATTAGGCTGGAAAAGGTGGTGAGCTTACTCATGATGAGACGACAATCATAAGCGGGGCTTTGGACTTGACCGAGAAGGTGAGCTTGCCTTTAAGGCTGTATATGGAGCTTTGGTTTTAATTTATCTTTAGTACAGTAGAGTAAGTTTGATTTAAAGGTTGGATGATAGTTCAGGCTACCGCTTTCACGTTTTTTCGTACTTCGAATTATCAAAAGTGAAGCTACGTTTCAACCTTACTAGGCTTAAGGTTTGAAACTATATGGACATCGCTTTCATTTTCTTTAGCCAATGCTCATACAGCTGTGGACAATGTGAAGCCTGGGCTATTATCAATCTGGCCTGATCCTCATCTTGTCATCATACATAAAATACCTAATTGATCTGAAGGCTGTCATGGGGTGGCCAAACGTCTGCGTGTTTCATATTCTCATCTTCGTAGAATATCTTACATTTTGGTTACTTGGCAGATCGCGGAGGAGGCAATGACACCTATCGAATCGACCTTCTCCTTGGATGTTAATTCCAAGCTGGACTGGTATTGAATGATGGCATAAGAAAAAATTGTCTCCACTACGACTGCGTTTAGACCTTGTTTTGAATATGCCAATGTAGTGCATCCTGTTGTCTAGTGATGACATCAGGTAAAGACCGCATATTTCTTCTTTTATTTTCTCTCACTGATTGCTCGGTGTCTGCTCAATTTGCTCACAACAGGGAAGCTATGGGCAAGATACTTGCAAGAGGTCACAGCCGAGTCCCTGTTTACGAAGGCTCTCATCGTAATATAATTGGTTTGTTGCTGGTAAGACATCATCGAAAACAAGGAACAGTGTGCAGAAATACCATCTGGATTTTGCAGTATCGATACTAGTATACTCATCTTGGTAGCGTTTGTCAACCCGGAGTACTTGGTTATTGTCTTCTGACTTGGCAGGAGGTCCTTGTTTGTTTACGATGTTACTTTGTCAGTCTATGTTTGATTGGATGTGCCTTTTTCGGTTGGAAGATGATGACAGTCTTGTCACAATCTTTGAAACAGGTGAAAAGTTTGTTGACAGTACGTGCTGAGGCTGAAACACCGGTCAATGCGGTTTCTATACGAAGGATTCCCAGGTATGTTGTTACATGTGCGCAAACACTTCGAACGTTTGTACTACACAATGCTGTCTGGAATGAAAAGGTCCTGAGGAGTTTGCTTTCGATCTGGAAGCTCAACTTGGGCTTTCTCTTTACTAAACAGCGACGATTTTAACAACGAGACCGAAGATCTCTCAGCGTAGTCTCCACTATCGTTGAGATGTGACCCAAATGGCAGATTTAGTGTACTGCAATTGGTGGCCTACACGAGGTCTCACGGTCCTGGAGTTTCCTGTCGGCTCGTCGAGAAGGTCGTTCTATTTAAAAGATCTGAGGGCACGAACGGTTTCAGTAGAGTCCTTTGTCACCCCAATTTACTTCACTTTTAGATATCCAACTCACTGTGCAAACTTTGTTTGTAAATAGGTGGATTATAAAGAGTATTGCGCGCATGTAGCTCATGTCCACAAGAGCCTCTGCCGAGGTGTGCGTTTTCTTGGGATTAGAGTGACATGTCGTTTCACCAACTAAACGCAAGTGCTCGTTATCTAATGTCTTTGCAGAGTCCCGGCTGATATGCCACTTTATGATATCTTAAACGAGTTTCAGAAAGGAAGTAGTCACATGGCTGCTGTAGTCAAAACCAAGAACAAGCGCAAGCCCAAGAGAAGTACCCTTGCAGATGCATTATTTCCAGCTGGGACGGAGAAGAAAGAGGGCCCACATAAGCATCGTCAACTTCAACTTGAACACGACGCTGACCTTGAGAAGGGTCAAATGGAGAAAAATGATGAGGCTCATGGCAACGGTGCAGAGCGAAGTCACGACGATTTGGGAGCAAAGGCCGAGCAAAGTGAAGGTCACACCGACGAGAACGGGGTACATCACAGGCGTTCAGGTAGTCAGACGGATGGGTCTGGAGTAGATGATGTGGAAGAAGGAGAAGTGATCGGCATTATTACCCTGGAGGATGTCATCGAAGAATTGTTGCAAGTATGTGATCCTTCTCACCTGGACCTACGGCCTGAAGACTCGTGGACTTTAAGCCGCAAACTGAGATGTCAGCTGAACTTGAATATTCTTTTGCGATGTTTTCTAGAACGGTCGTTCATGAGCTCTCGCTGTTTTGTGTTGCAGGAGGAAATAGTCGATGAAACCGACGAGTACGTCGATGTGCACAAGAGGTACTTTGTCCGTCTTGCTCCTCCGTCTAAAGGATGTACATAATGTGCAGCTTTTTTCTTAACTTTTTGTGTATCATCATGTTCTAGTTCGTGACTTGGAAGTGCTGATGAGTGCACTTTGTGTATGTCTTCATTTACACTAACCTCTGTGAATTTTTGTTGGTTTTAGGATACGAGTGGCTGCTGTTGCAGCAACCATGTCACGTGTGGGTTCAATTATGAACCGTGATGGAGTCAAAGTCGCTGGATTATCCGTAAGTGTTCATCTCTCTCATAGCCTAAACGGCGTTAGTCTTGGTTCCCAGTTACAGCTGCTTGCAGGTTACCTTTTTTGATATCGAAGAACGTGCTTTATCGCCTTGAAACATGGACTTGCTGTTCTCCTTTGAAAATTTCTTTGTTATGAGTGTGGGGAGGTGTGGTGTGTTTGTTAATTACAAGTTTTGTTTTAGCTACAGGTCGGGGGCTCATTCCGTGATCGGAGAGATGGAAGCAAAGTTCGTTTCACAAATCCGGAGCCTCCCCGGGACCCTACCGCAGCCGCTTCAAGGAGTAAAGATGACTTGCGGCAGCCATTGTTAGAAGCGTCGGCAAACCAAGAGCAGGCTTGAGTAGATAGAAGAGATTACGCAAAGTTTTGACTACCAGCAAACTTGTGACATATCCCTCCAGCCAGATGTGTTATTTACCCTGTGTATCCAACTTATAGTGCAGAACCTGAACCTCTGGGAGATTAGTTACCCTTTCAGGCCAGAACGGGGAAGTAACGCAGCTTCCCAGAAGCTCCTGCGAATCAGCCGGGATTAAGTACATATCTCAGGCTGTATATAGAATTTGAGAGAGGTCTATCTTGGCCTTTACATTTTGAGTAAGTGCACGCACGCGGGTCTGATTTTATCAGATGTTGTCTTGCCTTCGCTGTGACATGTGGTTTATCAACCTTGGAAAAATCTTTCAAGGTTCGAAGAATATGTGACATTTTTTTTCTTGGTCGTTGAGAAGTAAGTAATGAATGGATGAGCTTGTTATGAGCTTTGTCATTAGGATCTTCTATGACTTCGTCACAAACAACTCTTTGTGTTCTGTAAATAAAACTGAAACATAATTACTTGATTTGTGTAATATTTTGTGCATCATGGTGAAGTTCAGTTTAAAAGAGAACACGTGAAAACTGTTTTGTAGGAAAGCTTTTTTCCACATCTGGTGTAGTTTGCATTTTAACGACACATCCGAGGCGGGCCTACTATCTCCAGACTATGACAGTCACATATAAACGAAGTTGAGGGATGTTTGTGATGCGGGCTCGGTTTTGAAAGTAATCTACTAAATTGTTTGGTCCTTCGAATCTGGACTAGATCGGAGTTGTACGTTTGAGATTTCTCAATACGTGTCAGGTTGCATATGTTCTAAGCGGTTTGAACTGTATTGCTTCTGGTGGATCTTAACAGGAGGTTAATACCTCAATCTGACCTCGAACTCCAATGTTCTTATGAATGCGTTTTAACTAAATGAGAGCATTCGTTGAGATAGTGTTAGTGAGAGCACATGTAATCTTCCTACCATCTCCTTTTCTGTTTGATCCAGTTATTTGCATGATAGTATTCCGATTAATATCAACATTATTCAACTGACTTGAAACTTTTATTACTGATGATTTTTACTTACAAATAAATTACAGGATAAATTACAAAGAAGACTTGCTATATCTGTAGACTTGCTGTTTTCAGTATCAATAATTCAGCTGAGGGTACTGGAGTTGGAAAGTCATCGAAATTATTATTCGGACCAACTATTACTACGAGTAATGGACTCAACCATTGGGGCTTATTTCGAATTTGCACTCATGTGGAGATCTTAAATCGGGAGTAAGTTGCAAATCTCTTTGCATTACGTTGCAACTCAGCTTGCTCCGTTACCGACAAAGTTATTAGTCTAAATATCGAATGTTACTGGCCCTTGCGGTGTCTTCTCAACTCAGAAGTATCAAAGTCCATCAAAGGATCGATTGAGGAAGCAGAAGAGTGTAGACTTGCAGACTCTGCCACCACAATCGATCTTTTGATTCAGCTTCCAGCGTTCTGGGACGAGAATACATTGCCAGAGCCAGCAGCTTCTGATGTTCACGGCAGAGATCATGGAGTTTCTAGCAAACCTATGAAGAAATGTGAGTTCCATGACTTTACTGATCAGGAGAAGATGGAAATGAGCAGACCCCCGGCTCAAGGAGAAAGCATAAGAAACGAAATTAGCATGGACGAGTTGAAGATGAGACAGTTTATGCAGATTCAAACAGAAGGTAAAGGTAGTCAGTGGCAATACATGTGTCAATTGAAGAAGAATCGTTTTCGAACGACGGTTAAGACTCTTAAACGATTTTTGAGGAGTGACTAGAAAACAGTAAGGTTTTGAGATGGTGAGAATTTTTCTTGAAACGAGAAAATCGAGTCCTTGTATAGATTTTACTGCCACTAACTTCCAGTTGAGAAAAGACCTGAATTTAACAATGATAGAAGACCTGGTTACAATAAAAAATATTCTGGAATTTTAAAGTGAAGATTCTCTTTAGTGACAGTGAAGGATAATACTGTCATAAATGTCCTTCGCTACCAAAATGAGAGTACTCACTTTTTGATAGTGAAGGTTTGAGGCTGTAACGGTGAATGTTCTTATCGTTGAAAGTGAACATATGTTTATGTTAGTGAAGGGGGATACTCGTAATTAAGTACAGCGAGGATTTGGACAGTTTTTAAAGTAGGGTTTTGGGATTTTTGCAAGCGAGTTCTGAACATTTTCCTCAGACAAAAATGGAATTGATTTCAATAGCGTGTTCTTTACGGAGTTGCTACGTATACAACCCACCTCGTCTCCATTATGTGCTCTTTCTACTCCATCAAGCCCCAGCTTTATTCTGCTGTCTGAATTGTAAGTTTAGAATCATGACGCATGCATATGTCACATATGCATATGGCACATATGATATGTGCCACCATGGCCAGCTTATGAGGAAAACGGGCGCTCCAGATTTCTACGGGACTCAACGAATCAGGTCAAAAACTCCATGTCCGAACTTCTTAGTGAGAAAGACCCCGCCACCAGCTTTGTTAAGGATGGAAATGTTGTCCGTCCGAATACTCAGGGTGTTGAAAGCAACTCACTGTTAATATATTCAGATAAAGATCCAATCGTCATTGGAACAGATCCGAAAGACAAAACAAGTACAGGAAAGTCGACATGCAAGCCATTGGGTGATTCTGGAACCCATGTTCCTAAGGTCAAATTTGTGAGCTGGTGGAAAGGTAGAAAAATTTTCAGTAAAAGTTGGATCGAAAAACTGCTGGCGCTCAAGACTTCTCAAGCTAGTCTATATTGATAATATTTTTCAAACGAATAAATGTATTTCAGTGCTAAGTCAGTTATTTTGCTGCCTGTCTCTATCTTTTGACCCTTGAATTCAGCAACTTTGGACTTGCAGTACAAGGAAACTGATCATAATGCGTTGAAATGAAGTTTCTTCTTGCGCCATCCATGAGGCTTAATGCTTGTAAATCTTCCACGGCCTGTGATTGCGTGTTTGACGTCGCAGAAGCGAGGTGATTATATTCCTCATTTCCCATGGCTGCCCAGGTGAGCTTTCTTAATCCTTCTTTCTTGGAGAGCTTATGCAAAGGAATGTTTTGCATTCATTATTTGATCCGAATCCCATCATCAAGTACTTCTCGGTCCTGAGTGCAGACAAATCATCATCTACAGTTGGCACAGTGCGAACTACGATAAGAATAAAGTTCTGAACATAGAGAAGTTGGATTAAGTCAGAAATTTTGGCTAGTAGACGGAAAGAAATGAATCTGAAGCATCCGTTCAGGGCACGTGATATGGTGCAATTATCCAGCTCGAGTTAGAAATGTGTGCTTGAGAATCTGACAATTGAGAAGGCAAATCCGGAGTTCTCTTCTATCTACTTACTGCTAAAAAATCAACATATTATAGGATCTGGAAAATCTTAAGCCAAGGATATTCTTCATAGTAGTCAAATTGGACGGTCACGCTCAATTTCAAGCGTCAAGATTTTATCCTTTTTTCCTTTCATATTTCGTATCATTCCTTCCCATTTTTTCCTCCCACTTGTGTAACTTGAATGAACAGCAATTCTTCCCACGTCCTGCAAAGTAAGCTATATAACAATTGTGAAATCCTCACGTCCTGCAAGTAAGCTCTTCTTTGCCTTGCAGGAGTAGATAATAATTTTGAAGATCATCGCTATATAACAATGACTTCATAAATAAATAGAAAGACTGGATCTATATACAGCAACAGTTCATAGAAAGGTTAAGGTTTTGAGATTCTTCAATTCAATCATAAACACAAAATTTCAGCATAATAATGTGCATAGCAGGGAGGAGAAGAGACACAATTTGAAAACAGTATTGGCAAACAGAAATATGAGGATGTTTATTATTCTCATTGCCTTCTTGACGGTGTTTTTATAGTAGAGTAGAAGGCTATGAGAATAATAAACATCCTAACACAACTGTGCTGAGTAGAGACTTCATAGTTGATTCAAAAAGTTGGGCATACTGCAGTACTATAAAAAGGAACTTTCATTCTTCAAGATGATCAATTTATCGAATATGACTTTGGCCAAATTATATGTTTTGAGTGGGATTTAATATTTCATCTCCTCCCGCAAACCTGTTGCTCTACCACCGAGCCTGATGTAGAACTATGATGAATTTGCAAGTATGTAGACACCCTTCTAAAGATGATCTCAATTGGTGTAATCGATACCTAGTCATTTGTGTCTTCATTTATAAATATCTGTGCATCTGTTCATAAAAGTTGTAGGAATCTTCAGGGATAGGCCACGTACACACATGCAAACAAAGAGAATATATAACTCGTTCCACATCATACGCACTTCTCAGCTCTTGCAGAACAGCAACAAAAAGTTGGTGGGCATCTTCTGAAACTCCAAATCCGGTGCAAGCTACTTAAGAGTCTGGACAGTTTTGACACTGGACACGACAATGCTCTTTGGATTCATAGAAGTCAACAATTTTATTTCAAGATATTGATGAAGGATCCATGCTGATTAAAAAGAATTTATGGATGTTCTGCCGGTCGGAACTCCATCATGTCTGTCCTTGCCCGGAACTCCACCTTTCATCTAACTAAGTGCATGGGCGTATACTTGGTTGCGGGCTGAGTCCTACAGTTGTTGGAGACTAAATTCATACGGAGTTCTTCCAGGATTCTTCCTGATCGGCCATCTACAATCGTAGCTCGTGAATGAGTACTTAAATCGGAAAACATGGCCTCCTTCGATCCACTGTCGGCCTCTGCGCGGGTCAAACAAATGTGTTCCACTTCTCATGGGCTCGCGCTGATCGTCATGAGTTGGGTTATACAACTGAAGGATGTCCACGCCGTTCCTCAAGTCCTCCACTTTTTCAGGTGAACAGCGACTTCAGTGTTTCATCTGACAAGGACAAGGGTGTCTTCTATCAGACTAATCTAATGAGCTCCATTCCGACTCAAGGCATTGGAAACAGAGAGTTCTGACTGTAGCAGCTGAAGTTGCTGCTGCCCATTTGGAACTGTAATCTTTCAACAGAATTATCAAGTCACTCTCATTGTCAAGAGATACTACCTAAGCATGATTCTTCAGCCTTCATTGCCCGGAAGTACTGCCGTACGAAAACTGCACAAATCTCCTGGCTCTGATAAATTTTGTTTGCGGCCAGATGAATGCTGCAGTTCAAAATAAGCTCCTCGATTCCTGTAATTACTGTGAATTTCTTTATGATGACATCGTTGATTACAGTAATGCAGAGGGTGAACAGAGAATATGGTAAATGTATAGATGCTCATAATGATGCCACCACTCACAAGTTATGTACATCATTCTTGGAATGCAAGAAGATGAAATAATAACACGGATTAACCAAAATTTGTGTACACAGCTGCATTAATATGATCAGCTTAAATCTGCACTGCTTTCAAATTCTTCATCTACGGTTCTTGTCCGGTTCTTCGTCCATTTATGTTGATGCGCGACGTAACTCTTCTTCTTCTTGTTGTTTCACTGTTTGCAACGTCGATCACATAGATACGATACAATATCTGTCGACGGACAGAAGAATTGGGCTTTGTCACAGCTCGAGATGCGCAAACTTAAATCAGGATTGCCACCCAACCAGCAGCCAACGCAGCGAAGAACAGAGTGGAGCCGGATTTCAGAGTGAAAGCGCCACTCTGTGGTGGTGCAGGTGAAAGAGCAGAAGGCGTGGTGGTGGTAGGAGTAGCTGGTGGAGGTGGAGGTGGAGTAGGAGTCGAAGGTCCACTGGCCGGAGGAGTACTTGTGGGAGAGGCACTCGGAGGAGAACCGGCTGGAGAGTCTGCAGCAACCACTTGCAAGCTCATATGCATATTTGCCGCGCAGTGGGTACCAATTGAGCAGATGTAGTAATGACTGCCAGCAGCAGTCAGTGTCACTGTGGAGTTCGTGTCCGTCCACGTTTGAATGGGGCTCGTCTTCGTGCAGCTTGCAAGATCGGCCTCGCTCACTTGGAAAACATCATGGACTCCACTAGTATATGGGAACACTGCATACATTGCAAATCACAACATAAGAAAAGAGCAATTTGTAAAATGAAACTGTCTTTGCAAACGGCATGAAACATTACAGAGGAGGAGAGTATCTGTGAAGACTAGAAGTTTTCAACAGAGAACCTCTCATCTTTAAGATGCCAAATGTCAGTTCATCAGCTCGAGATTGAGATTATTACCAAGCTGATCACCAACTTTGAAGGTATGGTTGTTGGCCCACTCGTCGTAAAATGTTGCAGTCGGAGGAAATGTCCATCCCGTAGCATCTCCAACTGTGTACGTCGCAGCAGTCGCACATTGCAACAACCCGGCCAGAAAAAGAAATGTGATCATCCGTCCTTGGGACACTGCCATTTTCATACGCCTCTTACAACCGGAAACTGACGATGATCGATGCGATTTCAAACCCCAGTCTTGCTGCTGTGCAATAAGTTTTGATGACTCTGTTATCGGGTCCTCGATATTCTTGCACGTATACCTCAATGAAATGACTCCTGTTGCTCAATTCGCCTAAATTGTTGCACTATCCGGCCCCCGAGTCTATGGAGAACCACTTCCTGGTGTCAAACTATGTGATGTCAGTCGCGATGGGGAAAATGCATGCAACGCTGAGTGTCTTCTGTTTCTAGATGCTCCTCGTTTGTTGCCCTTCATGTGGAATGAAGTTGAAAGAAAAGGTTGTCCACTTTTATGCTAGAACAGATTTCTGATGAGACTGTGCCACGCGCACAACCTCCGTCCAGATTGAAGAGTAATGAGAGGAAAAGGGAAAAGGTCAAATTTGTCCAAGTGAAGTTGAAACAGTCTTTCCATGTACTCGGGAGTGCTTCGTTGAACCAGACTGCAGGTGCTGTAAGTTCTTTCGTCCCCATCCGGATGAGACAACTTGTCGAGTTCAACTGGTGTTGCGACGTTAAAGATTAAAATTAAATTGGCCCTACTGCAGAACCTTCGAATCCCCATCAGGACTTTGCATCCATTCTCAGACATGGTCAAAGGTCTACAATACCACGTGGCCTGCGAAAAGGAGGCATTCCGTTTCATTAGGCCCTCGATCCAGACGAAGGACAAGAGGACAATACGCTAACGTAGCTGAGGATTATCCAGCTGGTTCTAGCTTCCCTCCAATGAAAGGACTCCGTGTTCTGTGGGGATTGAGGTCACGTCTCAGTGCTGAGCAGGAGCAGAAATCAATCGTTGCAAATTGGTTTCCGAGGGGAGGATGAATCTATTCACAAAGTCAGCCGAGAATCTGAACAATGGCCTTGTCTTCGTGGGTGCAGACTGTGCGTGCTGATTCAAAGTCTTTGGCAGAAAAGTTCCTCACTGCCTGCGTGACGGAAGCCACACTCCATGCATTTGGAGCAAGCCGGGTCATGCGTGCATGCCACTAAAATAAGCTAACTTCATGAACAGGCCTCACGAAGAAGACCTAGCATTAGCGAAGCCGGCAGCTCAGCCTTTAATTGCTTGCCTTCAATTGCCGCTGAGAGGCCTCATGGTTCCTTCCAGGCCTATGGAGAGGCCAGCATGAATCAAGCTTTCTATATCGTGGTCAACAATGATAGTACCTGGTCGTAAGAAAATTCGATTGCTTTGAAGGAAAGTTTCCACACAGTTTCTTTGAAGAATGAATCTCGCCCCCACCCCACCTCCAGCTCTGGAGCTGGTCTCGAGGTGTTGGAGAGAGGATTTTTTATCTTCGTCGTCAACAGCCGGACCTTGGAGCTCAGCCTCACTCGCTCAATGAGATGTCAGGTGCCATTCGGACCATATCCCCTCCCATGCGAACAAGTCCTGTCGGACTTGTTCGCAGCAGGCACGCAGACGGTCCAGGCCAAGCTCGGACTAGTTCGACCTTTCATAAAACGCGTAAATTGGCCGGAAGCTCTCAAGGACACAGTCTGGAGTCTCCGAGAAGAACATCATCTCATCATCGACGCCAGCTCGGAATAACTGGGCTTCCTTCACTGCACACACAACTTGCAGAGCTACGGCCTACACCACCGTCACTCTTCTTTCAGTTTGATTTGACGAACATTTCTGCCCTGAGATGAAAATCGATGGAGTCCATCGCAAGTTCGGAACTTTCGCGACAGACAAGAGTATGCGGATGGAGATTCTGAATTTTATGCTCAGCAAGTTTAGGCTCCGGACGGTCAGTTTTGATTCTACTGAGTGGATTTCTCGCTTCGAACTTGGAAAATTTCAGCATCTCGAGCAGAGATGATCACACAAACGGTGTGCAGCGATGCACGAGTGCTGCAACGTAAACAGTGGGAGATGCAACGGGATGGAATTTTCCTCCGACTGAAACATTATACGACCACGGGGCGGAAAATAATATCTTCTTCGTTGGCGAGCGGATTGGTAAAACTGAACTGATGATCTTACATGTTGACGAGGGGAAGAAGAAATATTCTGTACTCAAGCTTGCCAGATTCGATGGCGCTCGGTATAGTGTCATCAGATGGTAGTGATTCGGCGAACGATCCGAGCTTTATTATCCAGAATACGTCAGACCCACGAATAGATCTTTCCTTTTGCCTCTGTAATGCACCTGGTCATGATGTTCTCCTAGTGAGCAATTCCGCCATGGGAACGTGCGCGAGAACGAGCCCCATTCAAAATTCGATGGAAAGCGATACGACTGTGCTTATGACAACCTCAAGGTTTCATGGCCACATCTGCTCACTCACTAAACGCAGCGAGGGAGACATGAAGATGAGTTTGCACGTCGTTAAAGTATACCCTCGTCACTCCTACTCCGGCAGGAGGTTCAGCAGCTAGTGGGGCTTTCTCAGGTCAATCCGCCTCTGTGGATCACATCGACTAGAATTGTTGACCAAGTCCTTCAATTGATTCACTCGGTGTCATCTTTTATAGTTATTTTTTTGGTGCGGACCAAGAGCGTCGAGAATTAATGTCTTGGTACACATCTTGTACATTAAGATTCGAAAATGTAACACTTTGTCGGCTAAACCACAGACGCCTCAATCGGCTCGAGCTCCATGCAATCGTCGGGCATGACTGTAAAGTGTATCAACCTATGCGTACTTGACACAAATTCATTCAAGTGAATTCAAATGTACACGGCCACCACCTTCACGATCTGGATTAACACGCACTGAACAAATAAAGGGAAGACCGTGACTGTCAGCTTCGGCGGATCACAAAGTCCCATCGAAGAGGAAAACATCATGCCAGTAAGTAAGCCTGCAACATCGTACATGATGAAGGACCACAGTCAATCGTAACCATGCTCGACCGCCCACTCACTGCCGTGCGGTGGTTGACAGTTTCAGAAGAGACTGGCTTTCAAATGTGGCTCTTCACGTTCTTCGATCCACACGAATTATTAGAAAAAATCCGTTAAAAAACGCCAGAACCACATCACTCATAGATCATCAAACTCATGCAAAATCTTCGATCTGTCTTCCCAACAGTCGCAGGAATCAGCGGCTTGCAACGGAAAGTCGGGGGAGTTTGAGATTTAAAGGGGAGCAAGGTGCAGAGATGGTGTGCACCGGACTGGGCAGAGGACCGTCCTTATACAACAGCTAGCTCTGCAATCTGGCGACAGTCGAGCCTTGGGAGGCGTCTGGTGTTTGTTGTAGCCGAGAATCGATCTCACAGCTGATTGATTCCTGGATCTACATACAGACGAGACTAGACGCATCCAGAGGCTGGCTTCTTGACAGCGTAGTGTAGCAGCTTATGTAGCGAGGTTTCAAGTCGGGTCACCTATGATCCACGGAGCACGCATCTTCACGCTTTCATCGAGTCGTTTCATTTCAGGAGGTGGTTTGCCAAGACATGGTGGTCGATTTGCAAAGAATTCTCTCTCAAGATGCGAAGATGCACCAACCGATTGGCTATGACAGACATTGGACTCCATTCAAAAAATAGCTTGTACTATATAGACGCAGGCACTCGGCCATAATCGATCAGCTGTTTGGAGCCGTCAGAGAAAGAATTTATCTTCAGCCCTGAAGTCTTGAAGGAAGGTCGATATGGCTGATATAGCTTGTATGGATATGCAAACGAAGCATATCACACCAGACAGCTGATCCAAAGCACGAACGCTTCGAGAATCTCGTGAGGATATATAGTCATGGCGCTTGCCTGCCGAGCTCTGGCTTGAAAAGGGAAGCTGATAGCGACTGGAGTTTCAGTCACATTGCTGGACATTGTCCTCGGTGATATTTGGAGGTCGACATATGGACGTGGTGGTGAAGAAGTGGGTAACGATAGAAGAGAGATGCCGGGCCGAGGATCCCAAATGGGATCCCAGGCCCAAGATGGTCCCCAAGGAGGAGGAGGGGTGCTTCTCTTGCAAGCACCGCCGAAAACTCGCAAGAACTTTGAAGATGTGGTGTAAGAAAATATTTTCATGTGGGATGAGATCTCATGACAGCGGGACGCATGCACAGAGACCGCCTTGACACGGAGTCCAGATTGAAGACATAAGATGTTATCGTTCCCACTCATGATCGGTGCAAAACACCTCTGACTTTCAACTTTCGGGGATCCACATGAGTTCCTCTATTCGACGGCAAAACATCTTCCACGATCAGAGTATTTGTTAGGGGGACCTACTTCTGATGAAATCGAACTAGCCCTGTACAGAAGCACACAGTTTGCCAAATGAGTTTGCAAGAGTGAGTCTATGAGGACAGGAAATCTAATCATGCCGGTCACATCATGCATGCCGTCTTCAGGACGAGGCCGAGGGGCACCAAGTCTGGAGCTTCCACAGGTCAAGTGAGGACTCACATTTTCTAAATACTGCAGTGTCGTTATGCTCAATGACTGCTGAAAGCCTGCAGTCTCGGAGTAGCGCAAGTCGGATGAGTATCTTTCGACCAGGGACACTGTGCTTGGACCCGAACGACGGGATGGCATCGATTGTGACCCTGTTGTGGACAGCTCAAGTAAGCTTAGGACACCTATCGCATCAGTTTCACTCCTGGAATCCAAAGCTCTCGTTCCTACACCTCGAGATTCTCATGTCTGCCATCATGTACATAGATATGTCGTAATGTCTTCTGTTAAAGCGTGATGTTACCACATATCATACTCCGAAGGTCATTCAGCTCGTTCTTAGTGCCAGCTCTGTTTTTCGGTCAACACTTGCTTATTCAGATATGAAACAGAGTACATGTACAGATTACGTGCTGCAGAACTCTTGGCAGTCGATTGATTGCAAGTGGGAACGTCAGCTTGTTACTCATGAAGATATAAATATATATATTCAAGGTTCTTTGAGTGTGAATGTCCAAAACAAATGTCTGATGCTAATAAATTCTGGTTGACAACCAGTTTGAGCAATTGAACTGTTCATTTTTTCTAGTGTATAGAAATTGGTCCTTTGTCACTTATCTGGTCTATTTGGATCTCATAGATCCGTCTACGAGTATCAAGAAGAAATTTTGTCAAACAGTTTGTTCGGGGATGCTCACATAATTTGTTCAATGCCTATTGCTCTCCCAACCTGACAGATGTGTGAACAAGTCATACAGTTGGAATTGAACTGAATCGACAAAAAAGAGTAGGAAATAGTTTTCAACCAGCAATTGACGCGTCTCGGTTTCACCTGTATCATTGCCCCAAGCGCAAAGATACACTTGCACCGTCTTCAAAGCTGCTGTCTGTGATTGGCATGAGGATCTAAAAGGAGTTATCATATTAATTCGTCAGTATTATTGCATCCTGTATTCCACCGTCTCCTTAATTCCCAGCGAACTGCCAATTATCTGATTTTGTATGCATTAATACAGTGAAATTTCTCTCCTAAGTGAAGGTCAGCATCCATTGTTTACATAATGTATATAGAAGTAAAGCCTTCGGTTACTATAGATGAAAATCTTCTCATTCTCTTAGCTACAAATTTGGATCTGCGAAATTGAAGCCCAAGAAAGTTCGGTTTCTTCATGTGTACACCAAAGCCAGCTGGACGTGCATGGTGACTGCAAACAAACATCAGTGCATTTGTGCGTGACCGAAGTACACTCTGTCTGAATCCGTGATAAGTTGATAACACGTTTTAGTGCTGGTGGACCTGATCACTGCTGGTGTGAGTGACTTAGGAAAAGCACGTGATTTCCAGGATGGTCCATATCATTTGCCTCGACACCTTGGAGATGTCAGAAGTTTAGTGTGAACATGCCTGCAACGTTGCCACGATATATCTCCGTACTCTCTGTACAACTAATTCAACTTGTAACGAATTCTGCAACGTGTAGAGATTGCTCAACACTGCTAGCAGCCGAAAATTCGCGAGCTCGGTTTCAACTATGGATCCCCTTGATGAAAAAACTATGCAATAAAGTCCTAACTATTAGAATTTGATATATTGTGACTATCACAGAAAGTGAAAGGTATATATACTATAGTATGAGGTTACAATTAATCTAGAATATAAACAGATAAATAAGTGTCAAATTTGGATATTTAAAAAGATTCCTTACATGTTTTATAAGCCTAAATACTTATTTTCCATAGAAATTTGGTTTCTATTTATACTGCCATTAACGTAATCAAATGATTCTTATTCAATTAATCCTGAAATGTTTCAAACATTAGTTCTAAAATTAGCAATGCAAGAGATTTGTTATATGATATTGATCAATGAAAACAAATATAATTTCACTTAAAATAACATTCAATTTTCTGAAAACGAATTTGACGAAAAAATTTGAAAAATTTGCTGGTAAAAACGAATTTGACGACACATCCTCAGATTATAATGTGCCTCGTTGTAATTATTCCCTTCAAATCTGTAAGAATTTAGCCTGCTTAATTCTTTTTAATTCAAACTTGCACTCTTTGATTAGAGTTTACAATAGATACCCTTTTACTTGAAGAACTTATCTAATCTCACATCTATCATTCTAAGATATTTGATCCAACATGCATCCGAGGCCTATATGAGATCAGACTGGGCTTAGCTGTAGCCATAACCTACATTCCGTTTCCACTTGTTATCTACGTTCACATAGGCGAGAGGGTTGGACACTCTCGTTGTCACGAATTCGTGCTTCACAGACCCGTGATGGCAGCTTCTGACTACTCCATGGTGGCGGCGCAACTGATGCAGAAGATGGCCCTCGAAGTCGGCGATCGTCCGGTGGATGATCAAACGAACGGAATGACTGACAGTCTCTCACAAAATGGTTTCTTCGTTCATGGAGCAGTCAGATGCAACGTCCAGCAATTTGTTGTAGAATTTCAAGCCTGCATCAACATCGCCAAGGACATGATCTTCCTGATGATTTTCATCTATCGGAACTCTTCTAACCAGACGGAGGGACTTTGGTGCTTGTTATCCACGAAGGGGGAGCAAAAATATTATATCAAGTTTGAGCATGACATCGTACAAAAGTACTTCTCCCGCTAAAGCGATAACAAAGACATGGTACTTTTTCGAGTCCTTAGAAGAAAAGTCTTTTGAAGCTCGTATTGTAGTACCTTCGTATCTCAGTTTCAATTGTTCATTACACATTCTGCAGATTTTCTTCTTCTAAGGATTAAAATCGTGTTTGAACCAAATCACTGCAATGAGCATCAAATAGGTTACGCTCCTTGAGATCTGCTAAACTTTTGCTAATTCAGGAAGAAATCCTGGGTTTGCTTGAAGATAACGATTGGGAGTCCAAGCAGCTGACTAGAGTACCATTTCTTCTGTAACAGACATGGATTTTGTCATACATTCTGATATATCTCGTCTAAACATCTCCTTGAGTCACCGCTTCTCTACAGACCATGAAGAACAATGATGGGTCTTAGCATTCTCGCCTAACTTTGGTCATGATACCATCAACTGCACCTACTAAGCACAGGTGATTCTCCGATTTTCCGCTGACGGATTATCAGACCCCAAAAGGACTCCTTCCACATACGAATTTACAATTGGAATCACTGGCGCTTCGTTTCTGAGCCTATTGGATCAGTATGATCTGTCATTTATGAAATTTGACTCCTAGTCACACTGCAGGACAATTTCTAATCCACTCTATGAGAAATGTTCAAATATTTGGCATGTCTGACTAGGGAGCAGGTGAAGTCACATAGCTTTAGCACACAAGCTTAGCACGAATAAACTGCAAAGAGTTGAGTTCAGATTTTGCGATTGTCATACATGTGAAAAATGGTGTCTGTCTCGTGGCAACCGTTGACCATATGTTCCTTTTACAGTGATAACATATAAACCCTTACGAGGTGGTGCTACCGTTTATTCTCTGCGATCTAAACGAGGGCTGCTCCAAATCTCTGATCCAACAGCAACTTTATGCCTCACCTTCTCGAGAAAAACCAAAAGTCCAACTTTACTGAATTCGATGAGCAATGTTTCTCTCCAAGCACATTGAAGGTGGAAAAAATTTCACATTCTAATTCATCGAATTTCACATTCTTGCCATTTATTTCTTGAGTAAAGTTGTCCACAATTCTTTCATCTTTTTCATCTGAAAATTCAACAAGAAGAAAGACGATTACTTAAAAGGCAATGAAAAAAACTTTGAAGATGGAAAAAATCTAGAATATTAGTTTCGTCATCTTACTTGATACCTACTAGGTTATACACTCCACAAAAATCAATCTTGATGTGTATCTTTCTTTGATCGAATTGGTCAGAAAATCCTGAAATAAACAACAATGTACAACTGTTGTTCATTGTGAACTTGTTTAGTCCATGCATATCCGAAAGTAGCCGTTTATCTTCTTGGCAAATAGAAGAGGAACTCCAATAGATGGCTTATAATGTCAAATGACGTTCTTTGCGAGATTGTCATCAAGTTAATCTCGTGACGCTTGCTAGTTTTGGAACAAATTGTAGATTGGACTAAAGGTAGTTTGCGCAACTTCTTGGAATTTGATGCAATAATCATAACATTAATGTTGAAGAAGTATATCATCTTTATTCTTCTCTAACAAGTCTTGATATTTCTTATATTTTCTTTGTAATTTGATTGGTTCTTGATCAAGTTGAGAGAGATGGCGGATTACATAAATTGCAACTCATTTTGTTTGTAACTTGATTGGTTCTTGATCAAGTTGAGAGATATGGCGGATTACATAAATTGCAACTTATTCCCATTCTTGGCAACCTTCATAAAGGTTTGGGCACCGAACATCAACATAACTTTGATCTTGGACTTTTGTACTCGATGGGCATAAGGATTAGTAACATGTATAGTAATTCTAGACAAAATATGAGAAACTATGGTTTTATATGTTAACTTATTCTTTTTTCCATCTACATCCTCGTTAATCATCTTAATCCAACAAACCTAAGATGAGAAAATTAAAATCAAAACTAATGATATTAGATACAATAGTATTTCAATGCCATTCTGGTATAATATCTAAGGGTTTTTTTTTGTGAGTGAAATCTCCTAAAATCAAAGAACTACCATCAAAAACCTTTACTCTACAAAATATTTCTTCAGAAACTCTAGGAAAATTATGACATTTTACAAGAATCTAATTAATAAACAAGCAGAGATTTTGGAATCTAACAAAGCTTTAGCTCTTATGTTACATAGATTTACATCTATTTTAAGCAAGATAATAAAACAATGAAAAGTATCAAACTTCTCATTATCCTGAAGTATCAAAACTCAGGATAATACTTGATGATGTGGCAACACTTGTCATCCGCACGGTCCCTATGGGTGATTGATGTCGTGTTCAAACTTGATCACCTTATGTCTTGGCTCAAAAATACGCAAGATTTACCAAAATTTGTGCGCCTTTCAACCTCGATGAAAAAGATGAACTATGATACTTACTGTGATACTGAGCTATGAATTTTAAGCTATGATCCATGCCTCCAAAATAGAAACACAAGTGCTTTATTGTTCTTTATTTTCTTTGATGAGCTTTATAACCTTTGCAGTGTTGATATGCATGAGCTTTGGAATCAAAGTGCTTGAGAATGTTTGGCAAATGAAGTTGTGTTATGCACTATTTATGATCTAAAGAGCAATTGTCATTCTTGTTGCTAGTCAAACAGTCAATAATGGCAATACTTTGTTGAAAGAATGTCTTTCAAAAAATTAGTTAATTTGAAAAAATTCAGCAACAAAGATTTGAAATCGTCATGAAAACTCCATTAAAACATGTTGATGAAAGTCGTATTGTTCTAATCGAAGTCATATGCAAGTTGTTGAAATTTTGCAACGGATGAAACTAGTCTTAAAGCAACAACAATTTTGTTGTTGCTGTAAGGTCAAACTCTGTTTTCAAATGATCTTCATTAACACATGTTGACGAGAGCCATACTGTTCTAATCTATGTCATATGCAATTTTGCAATGCATGAAGCTAGGCTTATAGCAAAAAAAAAAGTTATTGTTCCTATACGCGCTGAAATTTTCTCTTCAAACCATCCGTTGATTTACTCTAAGAACTCATCAAGGTATGCCAAAAGTGGCAAAAACTTCTCCAAGAATGACAAATATCAAGAGAGCGCAGTTCAAATTAGCAATGATCCAATAAATCTAACTTGTGTTTTTTCTATTGCATATGTGTGTGGCTAGAGACGGAAGACAATACTTAATTGATAAAATTTTGAAGTTTTATACCATCTACGTCAAACATATCTTACAAGCTTAGTAGATATTCTTTTGGCGCTTGTGGAATTGGATTTGTTGTGGAAACTAGAACATAGATTGGAGCGCAAGCAACTTGAAGCTTTGCCATGACGTTTTGTAGTTTGACATTCTCTTGTTCAAGCTGTTGTAACATGACACTCGCATTGTGCATTTGGATATTGGAAACATCATCCATCTTGATAATAGACTATTGTTAAGTTATTGAGGATAGGAACTCACACAAGATTCTGAATTGCATTTGAAGCTCGAAAACTAAAAGTGATAATATTTGAAGAAAAAATACTTCTTCTAGTGTTATCACTAGAAGAAGAAAAATTGGAATTACTATTGACACTAGAAGAGCAAGTACAAGTGGTATTGACAAGAGTGAAGTACAATGTTCCGAGTCTATCTATTTTTACATGCTTGGAAGGTGTTGGAATGCTCTAAAGTTGGAAAGTCAACATCGCCTCCAAATTGGAAAAAAGTAGTCACCATATCCAAGTTGAGAAAAGTACTCACCGCATTCGGGAAGAAGTTGGTTTGTGACATTTGGGAAAAGTATGTAACTCACACATTCGCTCTCGGAATGAATTACAAGCAAATCTCAACTTACCACTAAAGAATACATTATGTTTATTTACGGATTACATCCATAAGAACAATTAAGATTCACTCTCATAACATCCTATTTGTGTGAGTGAGATTGAAACAACATCAGTCCATTTATATATTGAGAAAATAACTAGTTCAACTAATTGAGATTGAGTTAATCTAAGTTACACACGACCTAAGATACAACCTAAAAGTATCTAAAACTAAAAGACTAAATTTACAGACACGATAATACTCGATAATATGCAGCCTGGCGATTTACAAAGATCAGGAACCTTTGTTTATGAACCATCGGCTAGATTCGATTCGACTGTTCCGGTTTGGAACTGGTGACCATTTTAATGTCTGCAAACACCAGTCAACAGCAGACGCTGGATATCACTGCTTCGAGAAATGGCTTGATGTTACGTGAAGAATAATGCAAATTGTAGTCCCAACTCCATGCCTAAATTTGATGAAAATATCTGGAAGTCATTTCTTCCTTAATTTTAATCCGACAGCAGATGAATATATTTGGAAGGCACTTCTTCCCCGGGTGCTGTTCATTGACCTATTTCCTCAAAGAATCCCTTTGTACACTCAAGAGGCCTTCATGGAGGCTGCTATGAAATTTGTCCGACAAGGATTTGGTGGTGACGATTCCGCGGATGATTAGGGAAGGGAGATCGCAGCTCTTCTTGCCCATATTGACCATGGAACTTCTGGTAAGTGATTAAAGTGATGGATTTGATTGCGCTGGTTATCACTTTCCTTAGTAACATACTGCAGTTTCCTCATCTGAGAATATGTTATCCACGTTCGGATGTTTTTTCAACTGAAGAAATTATGAAATTAGTCACAAGTCCCAATGATGAAGTCTGAAACAACCAGAAATGTCCACGACTACTCCTGACCACTTTCAACGTGGACACATCTTAATTTGGGCGACACAGGATTGCTATGCAAGGAGCACACCCCTCCGCCAATCACATACTGTGAACCCAGTATCAAGTTTCCTTGTCATTTAGGAAAAAGCTATCATGGTCGCAGGGCATTGCAGGTATGCTGGTGAAGTTGTACCAAATCGACTTCTTTAAGATTTATGAACTCATTTCTGAATCTCGAACATCTGAATGTCAATGTTTATACTCATCTGGCAACACCATGTGGAGCTAGGGTGTCAATTTTCTATGAATGATCCAGATATGGCCTGCTGCGAAGTGCACATGCGATCAGACTGTATTGATATGAAGAATTAGCTTGTCGCATGCATTAAGCCAAAAAGACAGCTGGTTGAGACACAAGTGTTGATGACCAGCAACTACAACTACAAACTGTGCGGCCAGGATATAGGTGAAACAGCCTTTTGTCCTGTCCTAAAAAGCTATCAGAGAATTCCGTTCTTTCATTCAAATCAGAGCTATGGTTCTGGTGTACGCCCCAGTGGGCGAAGCCAAACGACTGCCAGGCTTTGGATTGACGATGAATATAATCAATGGATATGAATGGAGAAAATTCTCAGCTGCGGCTATTTCGCGTGTGCAGAAGTATAAAGGGTATTATGAAAGACGTTTTTGACGTCCACCTAGGAGAAAACATAGATTGCTGTGATCAGAGGTCGTATTGATAACTCGGAGCACGTACAAGTGATGAGGAAATAATAGTCTGACTAGATAAATCTGAAATATAGAAGTATAAAAATGTCTCTGTAGATGGCGCTTTTATGGAAAGGATCGGAGGCGAAGGATGTACAGCAGTGTTTCCAACCCCCCAGTCGATTTTAGAAGCTGTCAGAGAATCGTGTCAAAGATGTCCGAAGAACGACTATGAGTCTAGGAATTCATGTCAGCTGCTTTTGGCGTGTACAAGTATTTTGTGGACGAATTTGTTTTTCCCAGAGATAAAAAGATGAGAGAAGTTACCTCATACAAATGTATTTGACATTCATCATTGTAAACTGTCTTGCTCAACACATTAACCCTGACATGGAGCATTGGGCTGTAGACTTCTTGCTGTAGGCAAGAAGTCCTGTTTTAAATTTATTCCTTCATGTAAACATGCTAGAATACAGCAACACAGTGGTCATCTGAAACATATAAGATTGTCCTGACCAGCAATCATCATCAAGATAACGTCGTGAACAACTGGTGATCCACATCACAAGAGGTATCGCCATCAAGTTTACACAGTATATATCGACAGATGAGATTCATATGAGCAGTTTTGTATGCATGTTATGTATGCTTGCATGATAGATGTTTGTATCGATGTGTAAACAAAATTATGAAAACGAAGGATTGTCCATGACGATTGTTTGGATGAGTAATATGATTTCGAATGATTCGGGTCATAGAAACACAAGCCCTAGATGCAATGATAGTTTATGAATCTGGCAAGAAAATTTGTAAAGTATTTTACTAACTTGAAGCACAAGGTATCCAACATGGCTCTATGGAGTTTATACTTTAGGATATTGAACTCATAATCTTATGATGAAGATTCTTATAATTTTTTAATACTTAATTGCTCTGATTTGTATTCTCGTGTTCAGTAGAAACACTCTTTCACGTTACGATGTAGACTCTCCACCTGCTCTAGTCAGACGGCCACTATTCCCTCCCATAGACGATTCCATCAGGAGTCCAGAGGGACTATTGACACAGCTTGTGACATCCTCAGTTCTTCTCTGGCGTACATACAGACAGACACATGGCAAATATGCTTGAACACAAACGCGATGAGAAGTGCAGTGCGAGAAGCCGGAGAATCATCAGGCTTGCCTGGCTGGTGGTGGCCTGATGACCCATGATCCTGCAGAGGGATAGGAAAGGTCAAAAGTTGCTGCATTCGCAGAGAGAGGCTATTTAGAGCAGCGAGACAAATTTGAGAAGATCGTGTTCCAAAGTTTATCATACATAATAAGTTCATCACATACAATAAGGCACGCTACAGCAAAATGTGGTCTGGTTTTAATTCACAACGCAAGCAATCGGACTCAGAGCGTCTTCCGGGAGGGTGATTTGACCGCATCGAGCTTGGACTTTTGAGACACTCTTGGTCGATTGGTGGGGCCACATTTGCATTTTCGAGCGAAACACAGCCGCTGAGAACGCGTCATTACAAGACGACGGAGCAGGTCTTCCCTGATGCGCCTCTCGTTTCGTACTCTGTGGATGTACGAACGTAAATGTCGAGCTCACCGCACGTGCATTTAGTATCGACGGCATTGTAAGCCCCATGCTGAAAAGGTACTATGTTCTGCACATGAGAGTATCGATCATTACAACTCTGGAAGATAATACCAGAAGCAGTGCAGGGAGATCAGAGAGCAGGAGCATCGCAGTGGCCATAGACTCGTTCTAAGCTAGAAGTCTTGATGGAAGAGAATGGCGATTCCAACAGGCTATCTCCGATTCGTCATTTTCGAGACGTGGTTACAGCCGTCTTGAACACAGACGCTTCAAATGAGGTAAATTCTTCATCCTTCTCCACGCATCTGCTGTCATATGAGCTGTAACGAACTTTCGACAACATCCTACATCTGAAGACAGATTCCAGTTGCGGCCGGTTTTCAGAATCTGTTCCACAAGCGGCGTAGTAGATTGAGGCTCTTCATGCTCGGTCAATTCTAGAGCCAGAATGAATGTTTAGCCTTGTTCGTCATGTTTCTTAAATGTGCTAAGATCTTGAGTTGATTCTTCACATTTGTCGAAGGTGCAGGTTCTTGTCCCAACAGAAGAACAGGGTTCCAATTTACGTGCAACTGAGATGGCATCTAGTTCCGACAATCGCCTCAATGACGCACTATTTGTGCTGTATGAACCACCGGATGGACTACCTTACGACACGGAGATAATATTCGTGCACGACGTATATACTGAACGCTGTAAGGATGCATGGAGCACGACATGGACCAGCGAAGAAGGCATATGCTGGCCAAGAGAATTCTTGGCAAAAAAGTTCCCAAGAGCTCGTATGTTATCGGTGTCTTATGATGCTTGTGTGACTACAAATAGTACCCAGGGCCGAATGGACTCCTTGTCCCTCGTTGCAGAGAATGTGTTGCTAAACCTTTTCCTTTCAACGGGCAACGTTGGGCAGACATACAACTGCCCAATTTTGTTTGTCGGACATGGCCTGGGATGCTTCGTAATAAAAAATCTGATGATCCAAGCTTGTGATACGTATAAGGGGCAACATGAGAGAAGGAATAAATTGTTGAGGAACGTCGGTGGGTTTGTGTTCTACTCTCCTTTCAACTCCGGAGTCAAATGGAATTTGTATCAATTTGAGCCTGGTGAAAGTAATCCACTGACGAACTGCATGAGACCATACCATCCAGGGCTTAGTCGACTCAATGATGATTTCAGAAAACTTCGACAATTTATGAAGGACAGGCGAAATTCGAATGATCTGGAATTGTGGAAGGTTCTGACGATATGCGAGTCAGATCGAACGGTGATTTTTTCTCTCATTCATACTATCTGGTGGTAGATGAGCTATTGATCCGTATGAGATGTATCGGGTTGCAAAAGTTTGCATTTTTTTTTCAAATTTTTTTTTTTTCTGAGAGTAACTGAAAAGGCAGCTTCTCTAACAGCAGGTTGATGGATGGACATGATGGACAGACTTCAAAGCTAGGGATGATTTCGATGTGCTTGATTCGAAGATTTTAACCCCTTCTTCTCGTCTTTTGCTGATGATGTCACTACTTACTGGTTTATGATTCTAGAGTCTACTAAACCGTCTGCTCTTATGCAGTAAGCTAAAAGTCTGAAGACTCGCTCTATTGTGATGCAGCCTGGTGCTTTAGGAAGATCAGTAACATTTGTTCCAGAGGCATCGTGTAGACCAGACTGTGATTACTTCTGGTTTGGAAATGGTGACCATTTCGATGTCTGCAAACACCAGTCAACGGGAGACGCTGTATATCAAAGCGTCGAAGAGTTTCTTGATAAAATCCTGAAGAGTGATAAATTATCTAGTCCGAACTCCATACCTGAGTTTGATCCGACAGCAGATGAAAACATTTGGAAGGCACTTCTCCCCCGGGAGGTGTTCATTGACCTATTTCCGAACAGAAACCGTTTCTACACTTACGAAGCCTTCACGGAGGCTGCTATGACATTTATCCGAAAGGGATTTCTTGTCGACGGATCCGTGGAAGACCAGACAAGGGAGATCGCAGCTCTTCTTGCCCATTTCGACCACGGAACTAGTGGTAAGTGATGAAAGTGATGCATTGGATTGGGCTGGTTTCCAGTTTCCTTAGGAACTTATTGCAGTTTCATCATCTGGAAAAACAAGATCCATGTTCAGATGTTTTTGCAACTGAAGAGATATTGAGACTAGTCACAAGTCCCATTGATGAACAGACCTCAGAGATATCCTCGACTTCTGCTGACCAGTTTCAATGTGGACACACCTGGATTTGGGCGACACAGGACTGCTATACAAGGAGCACAGTTGCCCGTCAAGCACGTACTGTGATCCCCAGATCGATTATCCTTGTGTTCCAGGAAAAAGTTATCATGGTCGAGGGCCATTGCAGCTGTGCTGGTAAAGTTGTACCAAATCGCATTGTTTGAGATTTGTTGGATGAATCTAGCGTGTCAAATTGTCCAGGAATTATGCAAATATGGCCTGCTGTGAAATGCACGTGCAAATCAGAGTGTAATGTTTTGAAGAACTAGCTTGCCACATGCATTGATGCCGAAATGTAGCTGGCTCTGATCGCGTTCAGACCTCTTTGTTGGTGACCAGGAACTACAACTACAAAATGTGCGGCGAAGGTATAGAGGATGACAGCCTTTTGTCCTGTCCAGAAAAGCTATCACAAGATCCCGTAATTGCATTCAAATCAGCGCTCTGGTTCTGGTGTACGCCCCAGTGGAACAAGCCATCCTGCCATTCTGTCATGACTGGAAAGTGGACTCCAGAATCTACGGACATCGAGGCCAACAGGCTGCCAGGTTTTGGATTGACGATCAACATAATCAATGGAATTGAATGTAACAAAGAGTCAGCTGAGGCTAATTCGCGTGTGGAGAAGTACAAAAAGTTCTGTGAGCGTTTGCACGTTGACCCAGGAGAAAACATAGATTGCAGATATCAGAAGCCGTTTGGACAAGTCTGAGCACGGACGAGGAATGAGGAAACAATCGTCTGACTAGATAAGTCTGAAATATAGAAGTACAGAAATCTCTCTGGAGATGGCGCTTTCCTGAAAGGATTGGAGGCGAAGAACAGTGTTTTATTCCCAAGATAAAGCTCTGTATTCTTCTCTGGATTCTATTCACCGCGTCAGTGAAGCGGCAGTGCGATCAAGAGTGTAAGAGCATTTGAACAACCTCGGAGCAATTCACGTACATCCGACGTCTCATCTCCAGAACTAGTCCGGGCTCTACAACCCCTAGCGCACTTACATGTACAGCTGAAGTTGCGAGCAGAGTGAAACCGACATGCTCAACTCCTGAGGACTCACTGCAGTGGAACAAACACTCTCGGGTCCACCGAATTAGGATTTACTGCACAGACCTTGCCGTTTCGCAATCACAGGAAATAAAGAATCTGAGGCTTAGTCTGCTCCCGCTTTGTAGTTGCACGAACCGTGTAAGAACGGATTATGAAAAAGTCATGGCGAGATTGATAGAAGAATCTGCAAGGCTGCGCAGGGATTCGAAGTTGCTCGGGAGTCCGTTCCGGGGCACGCAACTGTTAGTTATATATATACATACATGTATAATATCACATCTATGTAGAGGCAAATTTGACTCAATAAATATGTGGTTTTCATTTCAGTCGAAAACCATGGGAGAATGTTGGGATTGAGAACTAGGTCGCACCATGGACCGTTCGCTTGTAAGAATACCAATAAAGTAAGAATCGAAACTTAAATCCAACTTCTCGTAAATGTATTGGATAACTTCAAAAACTTAGCTTTCAAAATAATTATCATTCAGAAAATGATACTTACATTATAAAAGAAATGATGACTAATAATTTGGAGATTTTAGTTATTAATTAATTTATACTAATTATCCTTCAGATTAAAAAAATTATGTGAATTAATCATAAAAATGAAGTATGTGATTTTTCAAAGTTATATCTCTTAAAAATTAATATACTTGTCATGCCAGAGAATTAACACTCAACATTGGATTTTGTGCCATTGGCAATGCAAGCAGACATAGGTGTTGAGTCAAGGCTAAACCCTCTTGATTAAACACAGTGCTGGTAACAAGAAAAATGTAATTATCAAGTACTCTATCTTGTATTTTACCACTTGAACAAAACCGTTGTCCAAGAATTTATTAGTCTCGCAATAATAGGGTAAGGTATAATTAACATAGATAGAGAAATAATATAACTAACTGAGTTACAACTAGTTGAATAAATAGATTTACATTTTTTCATAATTCAAGAAATAATTTATTATACTCTCATTTCATTCTCACTTCTGTAGATAATTGTTATGAGAATCATAAATACTAACCACACGGGTATTTTCAAACTAATAAATTCAATTTGTAACCATTGAACGCAAGAATGATTGATGTGACATTTATAATTCATCTATTATAAATAAAAAATTATTTTTTCTTGAATCACTTTCATCTTAATAGTAACTAATTATATATAATTGAAAATCTTCTGAATTATGAAAAATACTTTGTTAGATACTAAAATGATTAATCTCTGCAATGTAATTTATTTTATTAAACTAGATGATTTATTTATAACTATTTTAATTTCAATTGATATTTTTTTTCATGTCAATTTTATTTCAAATACGACATGATGAACTCTAAAATTTAAAGTTAAACAAGAAAGTACTAATAGATTTAAAAATTCTAAGTCCAAAAGATTCATCATCTTTATAATAATTGTATTGTTTGATATTGAAAAGATTGAAATTAATTTTCTTCAATAAAAATATAATAATATTAATTCTTTTTTAAATTTTAATGCCATCTAATTTTTTTTGGAGTTGCATATGACATAACTATGACATTCTATAAAATTTTTTAGTAATTCATCTTGTGACTCAAAATTTAATCTGTGAATCATATTTGTTATTATGAACATCATCAATTCTAATCTTCACACAACACTTATTTTTATAGTAAATAATCTTGTTACATTTTATTAAAATTTTTATGTCAAAAATCTAGTTTTAATTATGAAAATTTCAAGTTTTAAACATTTGGCATCCTTGTCAATTTATAAATAGAATCATATTCAAATAGCATTCATTGTTTTGCAAAATAATCTAAATTAAATATGATGTAAATTTTATTGGATTATATATTAAAAACTAGTAAAAAATTCCTATATCTTTTAAAGTGAATTTTTATCTATCAAAATGAAATAATTAATTAAATGATTAATAATAAACTTTAAATGAAATTTAGATCAATATAAAATAATTCCATTATCATTAATTCGAAAATTAATAACAATATCATCAGCGTGATTTGAAATCTTTGTAATATATATTTAATAATCATATTTATATATTAAAAAATATATACATTTTGGTTCATAATTTTTTGAAAAACTTAATCACTGAATATCCTCAAAGAACAAAATGCAATTTTGCTATTCATGAATTTGATTTGAAATAAAAATTTCAATTGTATTGTAACAATATTTTATTTTTAAAAAGCTTTTTAGTAATTTTTTATTGATCTTTAATAATAGTTTGATCAGAAAAACATTACAGAATTAGATGTAAACATAACACACTCTGAGTCCAGCTTGCACGAGATACATGTAGCAAATATGGGGAATTTCTGGTGAGTGAGCTAACACATGAATCTAGACTAAAGATCTTCATATAACTGTAAGCTCCGACGTGAAGGGAAAGTGGGGTAAATTTAGGTGATTTGAGCCGCCATGAAGTGATCGTTGTGTGCTGAGATTCAGCACTGGTGGTCAGTCGGATTCAGTTCTCGACCTCGCTCACCATGCTGGCTATATTCCTTCCTTCTTCTCAAACTTGTCTGTCAATTTTCATCTTCTTCCTTGCATGCTCTGGATCTCCGATCTATCGGACGAACGTGTTGTCAATTTGACGTGAACAAAAGAGTCTGACCATAGTGCACAAGTCTTGACAGATTCCAGTATTCACAGATGGTCAGAAGACAAGCCAAGAAATTGTGCAGTATTGGCTGTATGGAGTGACCTCTCAGATTCGCATTGCCACGCTTTGCTACTGGGGTTGTCTTCTACACTCGTAGCTGTCTCTCACGCTGGTTCACTGTGAACAGTTGGGAGGAGAGCTTCTAGGTCGACAGTGCATCTCTGGGAGCTGCTTGTTGGCGACGAAGAAGAACAACTGTTGAAGAAATTAATGAGGTCGAAGAAGCTTTTGATGATTTTTATTTCATCAATCCCTTACTTCCAACTACCTCACTGTACCTTCAAAAGTTTAGTCCCAATGGGTCAAATATTCTATATTCTCTGTTTTTGTCAAATTATATACCGAAATGCTTGAAATTTTATTAATTTTGGAATTTACAATTCATACAGTCTTCTCTATCAAGATCTTTGATAATAAATTCCACTCAAAGAAAATTAGAATGAAATATCTTGAAAAACATCCCACTTCATTATCCACTCGATATTGATATGAACAGTTTTTTTCTTGGTACAGAACATTTTGATATGTTATTGAACTTTCAAAAGTCAATCCTAATACAACTATATTTTTTCGTTCAATTCACAAAATCAAATATATATTTTTTCTCTTTTTTTTATCTTATAGGAAACTGTAGTGCACCTGTCGTGAAATCCTGTCTTGTGAGACTATTTTAGTTGAAAGATGATAATGTAGTATACAGAGTTAAACCTCCCGATAGTGTCACCTCTTGTGAGTAACATACTACCATTAGTGACATGAAAAAGAAGAACCATTAGTTCATAACGGGTAATTTTATCCAATAATAACAGTACGCCGCTATTGTTAATAGTGTCATTAGATTTTTCAAGAGTAATTATGTCGACCTTTAATAGCTACCATAATTACCAGAAGTCTTTGTTTAGAGTTAAAAATATACTTTCGGAGGTTGCTGATTGGTCTATCCCGAGTCTTCTCAGTGATTACAAAATTCTCAGACCTTGAATCCGTGTCACTGATCAAATGATGTGAGCGAAGACGTCGACGATATCATACGTCTGTCTCTGCCCACTCGTTGCAATTTGGTTCTGCGATGTTTAAACCCTTGTGGGAAGAGTGCTGGAAGGAAATTGAGACAAATCGAGTGGAAAGAAGAACAGGTCGGTTTTTCCAGTGGGATATTTTCACGCCTTTTCAAGTTTGTCAGGATGGAGACAAATTCATGAGGAGTAAAACAAGTCGAAAGATTTCAATTTTCAAATTTTCATGGGTGGCTCCGGGCTGATTCAGAAAATCCAAAATTTCCAACTTTGTCTTCACGTCCAAACAACGCTTGCGTTTAGACATGTGTGAATTAAAACGGGTGTAGATTAAGAGAGAAAAAAACTCACTCCAAACAAGTACAGATTGCGTTGAGAGAGAAACGACTACCTAATGCATAACAACTGAGACAGATTGTAGCGAGAGAGACTACCTAATGCATAACAACTGAGACAGGTTGTAATGAGAGAGAAAGAAATGCCCCGAAGGCACTATGACAGATTTGTTGAGAAAGAAAGAAGTGCCCACCGAAGGCAAATAAGGCGGGAAAAGATTAGATATCATCTTGCGAGTGACAGTCTCTTGCAAAATTGAGTGCTACTATAACTGTACACGAAAGTGTCGTGTAACTAACAGTAGTGGAAAGTATCAGACATCTGAGTCCCGTCTAACTCGCCTGCTGGTGGTCCTGGTGCCGCATACAGGCAACTAAATGAAGAAAAATTGAACAAAGTTGTGAATGTGATGTGAGTCACGGAGAGAAACCCAAGCACCGCGGAGCCATGGATCGACACAGGCATCAGTATTAAATCCGGCTCGGACTTTTGAGACACTCTTGGTCCAATTGCGGGCCACATTTGTGCTATCGAGCGAAATACAGCCGCTCAGAATGCACAGGCCTTCTACAAGACTATGCGCAGTCCTTCTACGATGCGCCTCTCGATTAGTTCTTTACGGATGTACAAGAGGACAGTGTCGAGTTTACAGTACGTGCTTTTAATACTGACGTCAATGTCAGCCCCATGCTCAAAAGGGACTATGTACTGCTCATGATCGGAGCGACCAATATAAATCTGGAAGATATTACCCGATGCAGTGCTGATGATGCATATGCTGGCCAAGAGAATTCTTGCCAAAAAAGTTCCCAAGAGCTCGTATATTATCGGTGTCTAATGATGCTTGTGTGACTTCGAATAGTACCCGGGGCCGAATGGATTCCTTGTGCAGCGTTGCAGACAATCTGATGGTTAACTTTTTCCTTCCAAGAAGCAACGGAGCGCAGACATACCACTGCCCAATTTTGTTCGTCGGGCATGGCCTGGTATGCTTCGCTATTAAGAATCTGATGTTCAAAGTGAAGGGTATGAAGGGTATGAGGAGAACGAAGAGAAAAGGTTGAAATTGTTGAGGAACGTAGGTGGCTTTGTGTTCTACTCTCCTTTCACCTCCGGAGTCAAATGCAATTTAAATGCATATGAGTCTGGTCAAAGTAATCCACTGTCGGACTGCATTAGATCACACCATCCAGAACTTAGTCAACTCAAAGATAGTTTCACAAGGCTTCGACGCCTTGTGCAGAAGAGGCGAAATTCGACAAATTCGTGGACGGTTCTGCCTATCAGCGAGTAACATCAAACAGCATTAAAAAAGGTGAATTCTGAAGTGTAAGATGAGATTTTATT